CAAACTTCATTTTACTACTAATAACTGTCTCTATGAACCATGCTTTCCAGCATTTCAGTAACTTGCAAATAATGAAAATAACCCTTTTTAGTTTAAATAACATAATCACCACCATATAATTCATTGCAACACCATTCAATGAAGGTAAATTTGTTGGATAATGCTTCTACTAACCATATTTATTTTGATTTCTTAAGAAGTCAATTGAATTTATGAGGTGGATTACTATATGATGATTAATATTTTTCATATGCACTGTTGTGCATATATTGTAAACCTTATGCAAAAGGGTGTGAAGGAGATTGATTATTCTATTCATAAAGAATATAAAGTATGTAAAAGGTTACCAGGCAAGAAAACAATTTTTTTTACTACATCAAACAAATTTATCTTAATTCAAAAAGAGAATTGAGGTAAGAAGTTCCAACAAGATGGAACTCAAATTTTATCATGTTCAACAGTGCTATTTATTAAATACATGCTTTTCTGAATTTAGAGTTAGGTGATTCTAACTACAAGCATTGTCCTAGCCAGTGGCGAATCCAGCCCTTTTTTTAGGGTGGGCAAACTTAATATATAATAGATATATTTCAATAGCAAAATTCAAAGCAAAGCATTGTATTACATCATAACTTTTAAAAAGAAAATTACAAATTTTGCATTCTACTTTGCATTTTTTGATAATGTTGCATAATAATGGTTGCATCATAAAATTTTTTTATTACTTTTTTATATATGCTTAGATATGTATTTAATTTCATTAAAAATAGATTTCCATCTATACTTTTTTATGTTAATATTCGTTCCATTTCACCGAGCTCAATTCTCAGATAATTTGTAAAATCTAAATGGGATTGTTATTTGATTTGTTATCTATTTTTCATTTCATAGAATCACACATCAATTAAAATCAAATGGAACAATCACAAATCTAATATGTGAAACTAGAATATTTATAAACCTAATTCTATTTCTTATCCCATTTTTTTTAATTCTATCATAAATGTTGAAATTCATAACAAAACTCTAATAGATGCAATCTAAAATTCTGAAGAAAAACTTTTTAAAATTATCTGTAAGTGGAGATAAGAACAAGGGAAGGTGCAACCAACACAACAAATTTTGATAAAACAAAATACCATCATATATAAAACAATTTCAAGAAAAACCTATTGTAAACAACTAAACACCATGTGTAGATAAGGAAAAATGGAAGATAAAGAAAAAACTACTGTAAAAAGATTTTTTCAAGATGCAAATAAAAAAAATGGAAGCAAGAAATAGAACTTACCTTCAAAACGATGAAGGCGGCTGAAAAATGAAAAGAGAGGGCTGGGTAGAGTGGTTGCGGGCTGCGACTGTGAGAGACGGGAGGCGATTGTGAGAGACGGGAGGCGAAAGAAGCTTTCTTATGGAAGCAAGAAATATAACTTACCTTCACGAAGAAGCTCATATGAGAAGATGAAGGCGGTTGCGGGATGCGACTGTGAGAGACAGGAGGCGAAAGAAGCTTAGACGGGAAAATAGAGAGCTCCGCCGAAAGAAACTGCGAACAAGAGCGGGCTGCGATGCCAAAATTTAGGGCAAATACTTTTTTTGAGGGGGGCATATTTCCTAAAGTACCCCTCTGCTGCTGTTTTTTTTTTAGGGTGGGCATTTGCCCACCCTTAGCTGGGCGTGGATCCGCCCTTGGTCCTAGCAACATTAAATGGGACACAATTGGGAATATTTGTAATTTTGTATCTTTTTTTATGAGATAACTTGTTCATTCTTTGGTATAAAATATGAAATTGCAAATCTATGCTGCTTATGCAACACTAAGGTACGAAATATTAAGTGGACATTACTACATGAAAAAAGGCAACAAGCATGCTTTCCAAATTTGTAAAATACTGATAAGATTTCTGAGTCATCATGGCAATAGCTATTATTATGGATCCTATAAAAGCTAACTTTTAATTTTCCAATCAATAAAAAAAGATTGTTGATTTTTAAAGAAAGCTATTCCATTTTGTGAGGGTGGCATAAATCCAACATTAATCATCTTCTTTTGAAAATGCCAATTATTATAATGGAAGTGTACAATTAAGCAAATAAACCCATCAGCTTTGATAGAAATACTTAGCTCAGATGTCAAGCAAATTCTACCATAAGATTTTGATAGTAATGATTGAATATGCCATTTCATTTTGATGAATAATTTATTACAATATTTCTAGAAACTAATTGGAGGTCCTAACATAAATAAATTAGAAATACTGAAACACTAACTCATTCAACACATTGAAAGAGCAGATCATACATAATAATGCAAGTAGTAAATAAATCATGAAACTCTTGTTGGTAAAACATACTGTCAAATATTAAAATGGATGAGATGGAGTTGGTTTGTAAAATTAGCTACCCTATATCGTGAGTATATCTTTTCTTTCAATTTTGTAGTTGGCATCTTAAATTGCCATAGACATTATTGTTGTCACATTGTTATATTGTACTACATTTTCTACATTTACATCTTTGTTTTCCATCATTGAAAAGTGTTAATGCATAGTTTAGTCATCCTTATTCTCCTCTTAAGAACTCTTATCCCAACCATTTCATAAATATCAATATAATTATATTCATCTTTATCACCACTGCCAATTTGCTCAGTTTGATCAAAAGTACTTTTTTTGGGTAAAATATGGGCAGAGCCCTTTCCATTAAACATCAAGTAGCTATATGTGTAAAAGGAAAGTGAAACCAAAATACAAATAATAGCAATGAAGAGAGGCTACATAAAACATAAAAACTCAAAAGAGAGAAAGAACAATCTAACCCGGGGTTAGATGGGCTCAGTAAAAGAAATTGCTGAAGGAAAAATTTCCCCTAGTTGCAACGATAATATTAGTTGTCACTGGAGTGAGGATCAATAAGTTGCCATCCAAGGGGATAAGAGCAATTCAGACATCATCGCCCACAAAAAATTGTACCCACCATCCAATTGGGTAAGAAAAAGGCAGCCAACCCTAAATCCTAAGAAGTACTTTCAATAATAGTATTGGAATCATCCATCTTGTCAAGAAATTAAACACATTTAAAAGCAAATATGCAAGGGTATTTCTTAAGAAAAGAATTGGAACATCTTATATAATATATTGGAAAAAGGTACCCTTTCACATGCATAGAAGTACTAACACCATTCCACAAAATGCATAAGAATTTACAGGTACAATGTTCCTTTAATAAGATCTTGGCTCTTATAGTGACTTACATACTTCAACAGGAGAATCAAATTCTGCTCCATTTGAAAATTAGAGGAGTGTGGAGTATCTGATGGTTTTAATAGGATGCCAAAGGTGAAAAATTATTGTACCATTCACTAAATAAGTGCTCATATTCAATTAAGTGAGCTAGCTTTACAATGAAAAATAAAAGACATAAGCCATAAAAAATATTCGAGAATGAAGCCTCAACACCTTTCATCCATTTGGGTTTCACATCCCCTAGGGTTACAAAATCCTATCTATTAGGGTTTCACTTTTACATGCATAAAAATATCAAAACTGTCCCTAAAAAATCATAAAGATATCATTATTAGCTTGCTACAACTTAAACTACACAAACCTCCCAAAAGAAAAAAAAATCTTGTTCACAAATCATAAGTAAAAAATCATAATAATTGTCGAAACATGTGGTGAACATTAGGTAATTCACAACACCTTAAAAATTTACATGAAAGCTCATATTAGCAAGCTATTGGCCATAATCTCAAAAAATAAATATGAAAGCTTTAGGTTTTAATCTTTTATCCATCATTTACTGATCTATGATGCTAATGCCTAAAGGAGGCTTGGAGTAGAGCTGCTCAGGATTGGAAGAGTCGTAGACTGACCTATGAGCTATTGGTCAGAGTGCTAAGATGTCTTCTGAGGCGACAAGCTTGTGATGGTAAGACGACGTGTCTCAGGAGCAGAACGAAGTAGGAAAAAAGACATGTTGATGTATAATTTTTGACATGACCCCAACCAACTCTATATTAAAATCAATTGAAAAAAATATATTCGAAAAACCAATTTGCTAAATAGATTGATCAAAAATTGAAATTTTTAGATTAGATCCCTTTAGAATTTTTCTGAAGTGTTATATATTTCCAGCAAGTACTTGGGAGTTTTTGATCGTAGTCCTCCCCATTCCCGATGAAACCCAACCTTGCCCGCATTTTCTCCTAATATAAAAATCTTAGTACGATCAACTTCAGTGCATTTTGTTTATCCAGCCGCTCTTTGCCATCTCTCTGAGGCTTCAATGAGTTTGCTCTTTTCCAGATTCTAGATCTTGCACTCGTCCCAACGTAATTGCTCTCATTCTATCATATAAAATCTTTAATTATTAGTTAGGAGCTCTTTGGATACAAGTAGTATTTAACTTTTAATAGGATTTTTGTAAATCCTATAATTCCCACTAAAGTTAAATTCTGAAAACTCTTTTACAAGATAGTTGTAAAATCCTACGAAATTGTTTAGAATTATAATTCCAAATTTAAGGTAGTTGATTCGTTAAGTTACTAGTGAAAGCATTATTCCAGGATACGAGTTTCTTATTAATTCAAAATTTTAATTTATGTTAAATCCTATTTTAATTATCAAATAACTTAACTAATAATATAATTACTAATTACAATACTAATTACCTAATAATTTATTTAGATGTTATTTTAATGAGAATTTAATTATTACTTGTTTTGGTAATTTTCAAATTAATTGTTTAATTATTACTTAAATAACTAATTATTTAAATAAAACTGATGCTACTAATTAATTAATTATTTATTTAAGTACTATTTTAAAAAAAAATTATTAATTATACTAATGATTATTTAATTAATTATTAAATTATTTTATTTTTAATTAATTATTTAATTATTATTTTTTTAATTAATTGTCCAACTAATTATATATTTTAAATTATATTAATGTAAACTCTTCACTTATTAGGGTTTGCTTTTCCTGTTGGCAACCAACTGCTTCGGCTTCGAAGTGTTGCCGAAGTAGCGTTTTTTGATAGAGCCGGTAAAGAAGTTTCTTCGCCTCCTTCGTCGACGTCGGATCGGTAGTCTTCGCTCGCTGCGAAGGTAACCATCGTTCTCGTTTTGCGCGCTTCTTTGGTCAAATCCCGTAAATCCGCCGAACTCTGGGATTTATGACATAAAGAGGTAGACGGAGGATTTAACTCGTAGTGAGATTGAATATTTTCCCAAATCCCATTTGGCAGGATTTAGGAATCCTGCTCAAATCCTGCATAAATCCTGTATCCTACAACCCCTTACATTTTTGTTCTGTTTTTCTCAATTTCCATCAAGTGAAACCTCTTGTTTCGGTTAGCTTCACTAATTTTGACTTGTGATGCTAAAGGGGCAGCAGAAGAACTCTAGAGGAGAGGAACAGCTGGAAGAATGAGGTATCTCCAGTCTTTTGCCTGCTTCTATATCTTCAGAACGCTTCACTTTCATTCTCTTATTGATGTATCTATTGAGGTGCCTTGGACGTTGATCCTGTGGACTGATTGAAGCATTATAAATTGTTTTGAATACTGAGTTATGCAGTCTTTTGCATTAACATGTGTGTAGCATCAGCTTACGACCTGGATGCAGTGGATGCATTACAGCAAAGCCCCTTTAATATTAAATAATTTGATAATGGTCAACTTATATACTTGTTTAGTAGCTGTAATTCCTTTCAATTAATTGATTTTTAGCGTGAGGAAAGCATTGGTTTATCGCTTAGGCTTTTTATTTTTTTGGTGTATAGTAAGTTGCAAAGTGACGTTTTGAGAGAAGCCATCACTCAGCTTTCCAATGATTCTCGTGAGAAGAAGCGTAACTTCACGGAAACCATTGAGCTGCAGATTGGGCTGAAAAACTATGATCCTCAGAAGGACAAGCGTTTCAGTGGTTCTGTGAAGCTTCCTCATATTCCTAGGCCCAAAATGAAGGTTTGTATGCTTGGTGATGCCCAACATGTTGAAGAGGTAATAAGATGTAATTGAATTTTTCAAATATTTATTTGCAAGCCGTTTTTGTTTTCACCATACATTTTTTTCATGCCTTACTATTGAAAATAAATTCAGTAATATTTATGTACATGCTTTATTATGATACTTGATCACTTTTTATTGCTAGAAAATAATTTTATTCATTAGAAAACATTTATATTTAATTGCAGGCTGAGAAAATTGGGTTGGATTGGATGGATGTTGAAGCATTGAAGAAAATGAATAAAAATAAGAAGCTTGTTAAAAAATTGGCTAAGAAGTATCATGCCTTCTTGGCTTCTGAGGCTATAATCAAGCAAATTCCTCGTCTTCTTGGCCCGGGTCTCAACAAAGCTGGTAAGTCTTAATCTCTTTTTAGTTATTACACGCATTTGCATCTTATTCTTCAGAAGAGTCCTTTCAGATTTTATCTCATTATTATCTTTATAATATTTAACAATTATGATATTTTTTTCTCTTTATGTATGAGTTAGTATTGACACCACCGTTGCTAGATCCCAAGTTCTTAATGAGAAAAGTGGAGGGTTGTGTTAGATAGTTGACAACCAGCGTAAAATTTGTCGAATAATCATGACATGAATCTTTTAATATATTGTGTTAATGTTAGGCGTTCCTTGGAAGCGACGCGATGTATGGCCTGAATACAACAAGTGTGAATGGTCTGCTGCGCCGGTGCCCGGGTGCAGTGTTAAATAGGTAAGGGTTCCCACATCATGGACAGATATGGACAAAAAAACTCGTCCATGAAATTAAAATTAGGATACGAACTTAGAATATAGGTATATTTACAGGCAAATTAATGGAATTAATAGGCATTATGATTCATAGAAAAATAAATATTCTATGCATTCAGGAAATTGAATGGTTTGAAGAGAAGGTTAAGGAGATTGATAGTTTAGGATTTAATGTACGGTATCCTGATAAGGTCGTACTAGAAATGATGTAAGAGTGATATAGATAAGAGTTTAAAGGATACAACAACGACAACATCAAGCTGTTATCCCACTACGTGGGGTCGGCTACATGATTCCTTTTTCTCTATTTTGTCTTATTAAAAGTTAAATTCTCGTTTAAATCTAATAAAGAAAGGTCATTCCTAATATTTTCTAACCAAGTCTTTTCAGGTCTCCCTCTATCTTTCTTAACATAAGTCAAATTTAATACCTCTACTGTCCTAACCGGGTCATGGGAAGGCCGCCGTTTTATGTGACCAAACCATCTAAGGCGACTCTCTCTAATCTTATCTTCTACTAGGGCTACTCCAACCTTTTCACGTATATGCTCATTTGGTATCCTATCTCTAAGGGTAAAGCCACTCATCCATCCGAACATCCTCATCTCTTCCACAATTAACTTAGAATTATGCTTCTTTTTTAATGGTCAACATTCGGCACCATAAAACATTGCTGGCCTCACCACCATCTTATAGATTTTTCCCTTAACTTTAAGGGGTACTTTTCTATCACACAACAAGCCCGATGCATTCCTCCACTTCAACCATCCAACTTGAATTCTGCTGATAATATCCCCGTCTATTTCACCATCACTCTGAACAATTGATCCAAGATATCTAAAACATACTCTTATTAATGACTGGATCGCCCAAAGTCACAATCCCCTCACTAGGTTTACTACTACTAAAATTATACTCCATATATTTCGTTTTAGATCTACTCGAGTGAAAACCTTTAGACTCTAAGGCTGACCTCCATAATTCAAGTTTACCTTCAACTCCCTCTCTAGTCTTATCAACAAGAAGAATATCATCAGCAATAAGCATACACCAAGGTACATCATTTTGCAAATGTCTAGTGAGAACATCCATGACTAAAGCAAAAAGATATGGGCTTAAGGCTGATCCTTGATGTAACCCAATTGAAATAGGAAAATACTTGGTCAAACCACCTTGTGTTTGAACACAAGTAATATCTCCTGCATACATATCTTTAATGATTTGATTATAAGCGTTATTAACTCATTTCTTTTCAAGAACTCTCCAAAGCACTTCTCTTGGAACTTTATCATATGCTTTTTCTAAATCAATAAATATCATATGTAGATCCTCCTTATTTTCTCTATATTTTTCCATCAACCATCTTAATAAATGTATGGCTTCCATTGTTGATCTACCCGACATGAATCCAAATTGATTTTGAGAAATAAGAGTTTAAAGGATAATATTATAAAAATTAATAGAATTAAAAATATAATTATAGATTTAAAGATTGTTCTTGATGTTAAAATTATTAATATTATAACTTTTTATGCTCCTCAAGTAGGTTTGATATAAATTCAAAATTAAAAATTTGGAATAACTTAGAAGATATAATATAAAATATACCTTTTGATGAAATTTTTTTTATTGGAGGAGATTTAAATGAACATGTTGATAGAGAGGTATATTATTTTAAAAGTATTTATAGTGACTATGAGTTTGGAGTGACTAATGAAGACGATAAGATCATGTTTGATTTTTCTTTAGCTTATGATTTTGTAATTGCTAATATCTTATTTAAGAAAAAAGATGAGCATCTCATCACTTATAAGAATGGATATAGTAAATCCCACATTGATTATTTTCTTGTAAGAAACATAGATCATTTATATTGCAAAGATTATAAAGTTATTCAAAGTAAAAGTTTATATATCTAACATCGCTTATTAGTTTTAGATTTTGAGATGAATGAGGCAGAAAATAAAAAATAAAGTAAGATATTCTATTATTAGATAGGAGTATTTAAAGAATATTAACATTTTTTTTGAGATTAGATATTAGATTTTAAATTTGTGTTTGTGCATGAGAAAGCTAATATTATATTGAGAAAAGTAGCTAGCAATATTAAAAATATTGTAAAAGATGTGCTTGTAATATTAAAATGAAAAGCTCTTAATAGTGAAAATAGTTGGACGTGGAATCAAAATATATAAGAAAAGATAAAAAATAAGAAGATTTGTTATAAAAATTTGGTTCAAATGTAAAAGTTTTGATAATTGGAAAAATGTAAAGAAACCTGTAAGAAGTCTAATAAAGCATTATGTGATGCAAATGTTTTAGCCTTTAAAAATTTATATAATAAATTAGATATTAAGGAGGGCAAAAGAAATATATATTTAAGTTTGCCAAATAGAGAGATAAGAATAGTAAGGATTTAGTTCAAGTGAAGTAAATTCAGGATAAAGATAAAAAATGCTTTTATTAGAAGATATTCAACAAAAGGTGAGTGAGATATTTTTATGAACTCTTCGATGAAGATTATGAGAATGCGATTGACTTTAGTGACCTTAGCACCCTAAATAAAAATAAAGATTTTTATTTTTATCGGCGTATTAATAAAATTGAAGTTAGAGAGACTTTAAAGAAAATGAAGTGTGGAAAATATGTTGGACCTGATGCTATTGTAATAAAGCCGTGGAAATGCATAGAAGATGAAGGAATTTTTTGGCTTACTAAACATTTTAATATCATTTTGAAGATTAAAAAAATGCTAGATAAGTGGAAAAGGAGTGTGTTGATTCCTATTTTTAAGAATAAATGTGATACATAAGATTGTGCGATTTATGGAGTAATTAAGTTAATGTGTTAGGCTTTAATACTATAGGAGAGGGTTATGAAGCATAGGTTGCAATGTGATACTAATGTTTCTCAAAATCAATTTGGATTCATGCCGTATATCTAGTATTGAAGCTATACATTTATTGAGAGATTTAATGGAGAAGTATAGAGAGAATAAGGAGGATCTATATATGATATTTTTTGATATAGAGAAACCATATGATAAAGTTCCAAGAGAAGTGTTATGGAGAGTTCTATAAAAGAAAGGGGTTAATAATGCTTATATTCAAGTCATTAAGGATATATATAGAAAGCCTTAAGCCCTTATCTTTTTGCTTTAGTCATGGATGGTTTCACTAGACATTTGCAAGAGGATGTACCCTGATGTATGCTTTTGCTAATGATATTCTTCTTGTTAATAAGTCTAGAAAGGGAGTTGAAGGTAAACTTAAATTATTAGAGTCAAAGGGCTTTCGTTTGAGTAGATCTAAAACTGAATATACGGAGTGTAATTTTAATAATAATAGTTTTTGTGGGATGATTGTGACTTTGAGTGATCAAATCATTAATAAGAGTACACATTTTAGAAATCTTGAGTCTATTGTTCAAAGTGATGGTAAAATAGATAAGGATATTATTAGTAGAATTCAAGTTGGATGACTGAAGTGGAGGAATGCATCAGTCTTGTTGTGTGATAGAAAAGTTGCTCAAAGAGACACTTAGCAGCCTTGTTTAATATAACATTGATATCTTAAATCTCCTCATCATATCATTTTTTCATCTTTAGCTTTAAATCTTTTGTTATTTTTTGTGTTATTCATTCATCATTAGATGATATATCATCAACAATTAAAGCATCAATTTTTTCAATGCAAGCTCTTTGTCTGGAATGTGAGATGCTTATTTTTCAAAATTTTTATTAAATAACATAAACTAACTTATTCATTCGTCTTGTAGCCAGTTTGTTCCTTCTCTTTGTATAAACTTGGTTGAATGTGCTCTAATTATGCTCACATGTAGAAGCTGAACAAGTAAGGCTAAAAATTTATTGTAATTGCTTTAAGTTTAGGCATCACTTCTACAAATTGTGCCTACGAATATTCTAAAATACAATGAAAAAAATGATTACTATATATGATAGTAGAGAACATAAACATAAATTCCTAGATTTGAAATTATAAATAAATGTAAATTTATCAGAAGGGTATCTTGACTTTTAACAGGACAACAACAACAACAACATTAAGCCTTTATCTCACTACGTGGGGTCAGCTACATGAATCATTTTTCTTTATCGTGTCCTATTAAAAGTCAAAATTCTCGTTTAAATCGAATAAAGAAGAGTCATTCCTAATATTTTCTAACCAAGTCTTTTTAGGTTTGCCTCTACCTTTCTTAACATAAGTTAAATCTAATACCTCTACTCTCTTAATCGGGTCATTGGGAGGTCGCCGTTTTATGTGACCAAACCATCTAAGGCGACTCTCTCTAATTTTATCTTCTACTGGAGCTACTCCAACCTTTTCACATATATGCTCATTTCGTATCCTATCTCTAAGGGTAAAGCCACTCATCCACCTGAGCATCCTCATCTCTGCTACACTTAATTTAGTATTATGCTTCTCTTTTAATGGCCAACATTCGGCACCATAAAGCATTGCAGGCCTCACCACCATCTTATAGAATTTTCCCTTAAGTTTGAGGGGTACTTTTCAATCACACAACAAGCCCGATGAATTCCTCCACTTCAACCATCCAACTTAAATTCTGCTGATAATATCCC